ACCTTCAGACTGGAAGAAGGCAACTATATTTCTCGTTTTCAAAGACGGATATAGGTCTAGTATTTAAAACTGCAGACCTATTAGCCTAACCAGTATGGTAACTAAAACGCTTCAGCGCATCCTGCGTGACAAGATATGTGCCTTTCTTCTAAGCAAAGGCTTTTTCAGCGACGCACAGCACGGATCCTTAGAGGGCAAATCCGGCCGCTCGCACCTCCTCACCTTCCTGGACATTATCACGGACAGGCTGAATAGAGGCATCCAAGTTAAAGTATGATACTTAGATTTCCAAAACGCCTTCGACTCTGTGAACCACCGACTACTGAGCTCCCAACTCAGAAAAGCGGGAATCTCAAAGACGATATACGACTCGATAGAAAACTTCTTCTCCGGTCGTTCATTCTCAGTCAAAGTCAGAGAGGCTCACTCAGACATTGGCTCCCCTACCAGTAGAGTACCCCAAGGATGCATACTTGCGCCNCGTGAACGATATCACCGAAGTCCTTGAAAATCCCTGTTTTCTTTACGCTGACGACGTTAAGTTAGTAGGCCACAGTAGCCATCTAGATACCGTCCAAGCTGACATCCACAAAATACGTGAATGGTCAGCCAAATCTACCGCTCAACGCACTGAGAGCCACATGCTTTCAGGCGTCGCAGGCCCTTCGATCTTCGTCACCAACCCTCTTGGAATTCCGGAACCCCTACTGTCGAAAAGCAGTACGAAAGACCTAGGGGTCAGAGTGGCATGCAAGTTCACTCCATCTGCAGCATGCGACGCAGTAGCTGTAAAGGCCCGTAGAGCACACTTCTGTCTTGAAACCGCCATAACGAACAGAAGTGCTGAAGTTTTCATCCCGTTATATGCAGCATTCGTCCTTCCTCACCTCAAATACTGTGTTTGAGCGTGGGTCCCATTCCTCCGTAAGGATATCCAGAGGCTGGAGCAAGTTCCAAGGCTCACTATCAGAATGGTATGGGAAATGAAGCAGATGAGCTACAGAGAGAGGCTCCTAGCACTAAACCTCTTCTCCCTCGAAAGGCGCAGACTACGAGGAAACCTGATTGTGATGTTCAAAATATCTAGAAATCTCAACAGTCCTCCAATGGGTCACACGTTCCGCCTGAAGGAAGATAGAGGTCTCCGAGGGCATCCATACACTCTGGAGCAGCCAAGAAGCCGACTGCAAATCAAGCACCATTTCTTCTCAAATAGAGCAGTCCCAGCCTGGAATCCGATTCCAGCAACAGAAGTGACATGTCAATCGGTGCAGACCTTTAAGCGCGAGTTTGAACTAGCGTGGGGTTCCCTCTTTCCGGAATTATGCTAATGATAACTCACCCTAACCCAAAAGAAACAGAAGCTGTACCAACTCTTTTTGCTTTATCTAATTCCAGATAACTCCGGATCGCTCAAACCGGTAACAATACCAACTCGCAGGCGCGTCAGCCCCAGGACAGAACACGCCACTACCAGGACACCTCACAGGCGGAGGCCTCCTCACGTCCTGCAATTTGAAATTTGAATTGAAACCTTCAGAATCCTCAAGGGTTATTCGAAATGTAAAAGACATTTTTTTGTGCTAGATGAGGATCAGACAAGGCGTGATCACAGCCTCAAACTGGAGAAACCAAGGGTATACAGAATGATCAGTACCAGCTTCTTCTCGCTGCGTATCATCAACAGCTGGAACAAGCTGACAAATGAGATAGTCAACTGCGGCAGCGTGCACGCCCTGAAGAGAATGGTCGATGCATCTTGGGACACACTGTTTCCCGAATGTCCCTAGAATACACCATCTAATGGGTCACGCT